GTGGTTCAGAGCGATTGCTGCTCAATAGCGAGGGCCAGAATTCGAATCCCAGCACCCAGGTCCCACAAACATCTGTCTCTCCACCTGGGCAGGATCCAATTCCCCATACTGGGTTGTGCACCCTCAAAGGCACATGCAACCACAAAGACATGTACACACAACATCCCAAATCTGTCTGAACAAAGATATTTTCTTAAACAATGTGAAGCAGCTGTTCTTTCTCCTCTCTCCATCGCTCAACACTTACTCAGGGTTGGTAACAATAGACATCACTTCTCACACATCTCGTTCCAATTATGTCCTCCCTGGATGTGTAAACGACAAGAACAACAGCAACATTCAGTAACTCATTAGAACAAGACCTCTTCATCTGGGGTCTGTGGACCCCCTAAGGAATTGAAGAGCAATTCCACTATCTAAATCTATGAATTTATATGTAAAATTTCAGCTATTTGCATATATGCACTTTTCTGGGAATAGAGCCTAGGACTCTCATTAGATTATCAATAGAGGCACCGAAATACACACTGAAAACCCATTACTTCATAGAATGCGGCCCACTTTGAGCATGCTTTTCCCATCTACCCTTCAGGGAAAGAAATGGTAAGTGTTTTTGTTTTTAGAGGAAAGGGGGATGATAATAAGTTGGGAATTCTTCATGCGGAACTGATGAAGTTGGGCCTTAAGAGATGAGTGACTGGGGCCAAAGGGTAGGGCATTTCAGCAGAGGGACTGTCGTGACCCGAAGCACAACGGTGGCACATGGGAGGCATGGGTAGGTAATAAGAAATGGATCTGCTGCACTAGAGAGTCCTCGGAGACAAGTGAAGAAAGTGAGAATGTCAAACCCAAAGGGAGGAAACCTCAGCCTGAGCCAATAAATACCCCTCTAGAGACCAAAAGTTTTCCAAAGATTACTCCAGTGGAATGTGTGAGCTGGGTATGGAAAAACTCTGGGCATGTAAACGTTACCACAAAAACCTAAACAAAAGAGGATGCCCTAAAGTCAGAATGTGATGTCTGCCCCATCAGCTAACTCTATTCCTAGTCAGAGAGAGGGTAGATGCTCAGCACATGCTGAGTGAGTGAATGAATGAGTGAACAGTTATCTTAACGATAATAAAAGACAGAGAGGGGAGTATTGGAAATTTGTAAATCCATCTTCTTATTATTCATAGAGCCTAGCAGTGCTGTACTAGGAGAGGTCTCTTGAGTTGGTCTGAACCAGCCTGACTAAATGTGGAAGGTGAAGGACATAGGAACCTAGCACTCAGAGCCAGGGTGGGGTGTGCCGGTACTGAACGTGGAGCAATTACTCAGAAACATGGATTGATAAGAAAACCAAGCCAAGGTAGTGTGATAGCAAGAGCACTCCAGGGCAAGGTGAAAGACTTCAGTTTTGGTCTTATTGTTTGGATACATGGTATGGGATAGAAACAGAGATGACCTTGGGGCTCTCTTATAAGAGGGTCTCTAGAGCTAAGTCTTGGAATTTCTTCAGTTCTATCCTTTCAAACAAAACAAATCTCAAACTTCTTTTCCTTGACTTTTCCTCATTTTCCAAAAGTATATGTGATACCTCTGTGTACACAGGAAGACACACTTGGCCTGCACCGCAATAGAGACTCAAGTCCAAATTGTTCTGAGTCTGTGGTCGATGATTTTGTTGCCCTAGCCTTGGTTGTGTCAATGGTCACAACTGATTATAGGACAACAAAATGGTAAGACCTGGCAACACAGTCTATTTCTGCATAAATGCGTTTTGCCCTTTTAACTGTCCTGATGGATCCAAGGCATATAACCACTGCTCATTGATACTGATTGTAGAGTGGGAAGCAGATGTATAAGAAGCTTTGTTTCTATAATAAAAGGTTTAAAATAACATGTGGTCCCTGGGTTCTGTCCAATCAAAAGCATCTATTTATATAAAAGACTGTGCTTCCTTCAATTATTTCTGTGGGGGTGGGTAGGGAGTGACTTGAGCAAATGAGTAAAATGTTTCTGAATTCCTCATTTGTTTCCTTATAAGGTGCACCTGTTCACCAAACTGGAAAGGACTTCAAATCTGGGCAGCATATAAATAAGTGAAGGCCTCCCATAAAGACCCACATAGCTGTGATTTTTGTCTTGGTCACTTTGCTTTAATAACCTATGTGGAGAAAGGAAACAGGGGTATATTCTCAGGTTCTAATTCCAATCTGTACCTAGCTATAAGCTGCTCAAGTACCCATGACTCCAGTTAGTAATACCCGTTCATCACACCCCTTCACAGGGGACCTGGGTCAAATGAGTTGCCCTCACAACCATTGATTGTTCACAGCCAGCATCGCCTATCTAAGGAGGTTCCCTCCAAGTAATGCATAAAAAAGCAGATATTCATCCACATACCCAGACTGAAAACATTCTTACAGGAAAAAGCGTCACTTGGAAAGAACAGTTGCTCATCTGCAAAGTGTCAGGCATTTCTTTCCAGCTGAGAAAGGGAAGCAGACAAGAAATGTGTGCAGAGTCAAATCCACAGCCCTCCTACCCATGCTCTGTCCAAGTCTCCCTAGTTGCACAGACCTGTCACCAGTTGCTTAGAACACCAGGAGACACCCAAGCATGTCACTCATGCGCACTTTCTCCACTCTCTCTCACTACTCCTCAAACAGGTCCTCCCAATAGGAATGGTTTAATACGAAATATTCATAGCTAAGCTTTCTACGGGTAGGAATGTCTAACTTAAGAGTTCAACATTGATATCTCCACTGAAGAGGACCTATTTACAGGAGAAGGTGACTACCAGTTTGAGATCTACAGGCTCATGAGGAAGGAGAACAAAAACTGCTGGGGTGAGTATCACCCTTACAATAACGTGCTGTGGCTGCATTACCGTGCAGACAAGATTCTGAATAAGATGAGATTTAAGACTAAATGCCAGAGCACAGCCATGAAGCAAATAAGGAAAAAACTGGAGCATTTCCACAGGACTGTACTGAGCTTCAGCTCTGCCACTGACCTGCTCTGCGAACACAGTCTATTTAAGTAAGCCAGGAACTTCATTAAGTACACTTTTTAAGCCTCTGGTACTATTAGTTAATCTCTGCCACTTGAGTCGGATGGAGGTGAAAGCCCATCCATCCTGAAGAGTTCCCTGTCAGCTTCTTAAAAGAGAATCTTGTTTCTAAAGGTAACCAAAATGTTTGTTGACATGATTAAACTTGCTTTTAATGAATGTTCTTTAAAAAAATAATAATAAACTAGACAGAGAACAAAAAAAAAAGAGTTGAACGTTACTCCCATTTCCATATGCCCTAAGGCTGCTTAAGTGGCAAACATTTTCAAAACACTGCCTCTCTGCCTCTTTGAAAATGGACAACACCCTAAAAAATTTTGTGGAACAGCTATATTAAAAAGAGTTTACTTTTCAATCAGAGATTAATTTCTCAGAAACTTCCATCTTCAAAGGGCCTCTTCAACTCTGTGTGAACTAATCCTTACCCAGTTGATCAGAAGTAAAGCCACTGGTGCACAGTTAAGTCTTACAGCCCAAATCCACAGCCATCACACAGAAACCTTGCCCATCAATTGCCTGTGAAATGAACTAAGCTATTCAATGCTATCTTCAGAGACAAAGACCGCGAAATCCCACCAGTTTGGAGGCTCTGTGGCCTGAGATAACAGGGAAAGGGGTAATGGGAAGGGATGAGCGACCATGAAACACTAGGATTTGGTGTCAGTGATATCATGTTGTCACCCAACAACAGGGGGACACCTGACAAGGAAACTGCAGAGGACTTAGACACAAGGAACACCTTCATGCTTCTTTTTCTAATACATCTCCATCTTAAACACACACACACACACACACAACAGTTGACAAGCTTCTGCCTCCAAAGTCAACTACTTTCCTTTATCTCTGCTAACCTGCCGTGGCCCTAAGCTTTATCTTCTCCAAATCAATAAACACAGATAAGTTAGCACTTGCAGGGTGCAGCAAAGCCACATTCTGATGCACCTGGCAAAGAAAGAGGTGCTGTTCTGTAAAGCACAGAGCAGAGGACCATGCGTAGCTGTTGCTGATTTGCAAAGTTCCTTCCAAAGTTCCTCCAGCAAAGTCACAGAAAATAATGACACAGTCCTAACTGGCTTTGTGTGTGTTTCATCTGCACAGCCCTTGGCAAGTGACTGCGCTTGTTGCCCAAGTAGGAAAGTCCTTCGCCCTTAGACCCTAACATTTATGAAGCACGATGAAGAAGAAAATAGGTTCATGTTGCACCACTTCCCGGAGGTTTAAAGCATCACACTAATGCTGCCACGTGAGTCCCCACAACACCCCTGTGAGGTAGGTAGGTGGAGAGTATTGTAACCCCCACCATACAGGTGGGGGAAATGAGGCACACAATAGTTAAAGGGCCTGCCCCAATCACACAGCCAGTCACTGGCAGTCACTGGCAGTGAGAATGACACTCGTGTTGCGTAGCACTCCCACTCAGCGCCACACACGGAACAGCCATCCACTGAATATTGGTGGACTTCACTTGACTTCTGTCTCGACATACAAGTACACACACAAAGTACAACAGCAGCCAAGGGGCACAAACTCCTACATCTTTTCTGATGATATTTCTCACTCCTTAAAACCCCAGTCGATGAAAGATGGTCAAGAATCCATCTGACAACCAAGTCCTCAGTTGAACAGGAGCAATACCAGTTGACAACCCACTCGTGTACCTCCCACACAATATTGGTTTTCTAATGAAAACAAAAATGGATTTCAGGTACCATGCTGATATTTGTTTTGTCTGTTCTGGACGGAGCCATCTGAATGGTTCTGTGGTTTTGTTTGTACAAAAAAAAAAAAAAAGGAAAGAAATAAGGCGGCTTATAATCCAGTTAGCATGTTAAAACTGGCCCAAGCTTGAAGGTCTCCTCCCAGCTCAGATGGGTTTCTACCTGGGAAACAAGACCAACCCCAGGGAGTGGTGACTCCTGAGAAAAGGGTCCATGATGGGGCATCATTTGCACTGTTCGTGTTCTGTGTAGTCATCCATGTCCACGTCAGAGTCAAAGAGAGAGTGTCCGGTGAAATCCGTGTCTGGGGTCCTGGAAAAACTGTTCTCAGCCCCCTCATCTTCAAAGGTGTCTGTCCTTGAGTAAAAGCTGAAATCCAGCATGGGTGTGTGAGTCTTGCTACCCTCGCTGCTCTCCTCAGACTCATAGATGGTGTTGTCGTCGTCATGCTGCCACTCGGGCCAGAACTTCCTCCTTATCCTCTCGCAGTACATGGCAAGGTTGATCAGCTCACCTGCAGTGTGGCGGAGAAGCAAGAGTTAGCGCTCAAAGGCAACGACCTAACAGTGGTGTGGTCAGAATGTCTGTGTTCCCCATCTCCCGGAATCCAAGTGTTACCATCCAAACTCCCAAGGAGATGTCATTGGGAGGTGGGTTGTCAAGAGGTGGTAAGGATAAGATGAGTCCTCATGACTGGGATTAAAACCTCAGAGTTGACTGAGCAGGAGAAGTCAAGGACATCACAAGATCTACAGAGTCAACTAACCTGGCCTACGGCAGCTCACATAGACTAAACCACCAACCAAAGAGCATGCATGGTCTGACCTAGGCCCCCTGCAAATAAGTACCAGATGTACAGTTTGGTCTTCATGTGAGTCCCCTCATAATTGGATTGAGCTGTGTCTGTCTCTGTTGTCTGCCTTTAGATCCCCTTCCTCTAGCTTGGCTGCCTTGTCTGGCCTCAACAGGAGAGGATATGCTTAGTCCTGCTGCAACTTGGATGTGCTAGGGTGGGTTGGTACTCTGAGGAGAAGGTCAGAGGGTAGTGAAGGGAGTGGCTTGTAAGGGTGTGACTGAGAGAGGGGGCAGAAAGAGCCAGAGGTGGACAAAGGACTCCAGGAGAACAAGGCCCTCTGAATCAACTAAGCAAGGCACATGTGAACTCACAGAGACTAAAGCTGCAAGCACAGTGCCTATTGGATCGGCACTATATGTATATGATAACTTTTTGTTTAGTATCTTTTGGGACTCTGAGTGTAAGAACATGTGGGCCTCTGACTCTCATGCCTGCTCTCGGGACCATGGTCCTCCTGTTTGGTTACCATGTCCACTCCTATGTGATGGGTTTGCTTCATCTTATTAGACTTTATTTTCTCATGTTTGGCTGTGATCTCCTAGAAGCCTGTTCTTGTCTAATGAAAAACAATAAAAAGAAAAAAAAAGAAAATAAAAAAATTTAAAAACTTGGCCATATATTTTCCATAAACAGTTCAGAATTGACCTTACAGATAACTGTGCCAACAAACACACATAGTGAAACTTATGGTTTTGCTCTTTTAAATATTTTAATTTAAACAGCTATACACACAATTATAAATATGATATAGTATCTGACCACTGTTTCCTAATTCCAAAAAAAAAATGAAGAAATTGCATGAGTTTTGACTTTGATCCACTAGATGGCAGTGTTGCTTATAAATAGTATTTGATCATCTCTTACTGTAAGACTATGTCTTTATAGCTATATAAACATTTTTCACTTATTATACATGTAATCCGTGTTTAGTCTTTAAAAGTTAGGAAATCTCAATAAGCAAAATAAAGAATTTTCAGTAACTCATTCTCAATAGCATTTGTATACTCTTATAGAAAATACTTTCAAGTAATTACACAGCCTTGCACTCACTGGAGTCTGTGCCTAACTCTTTCTCCTGACAACACAGAGCGAGGACCTCTGAACTTCACAGTGCAGCAACCACAGTCATCTGCAGTGCATTGTGTGGACGCGTCACACTCTAATTATTTCCTCAGTCCCTTGTCACGGTCATTTGATCTGTTCCTACACTGATGACTCTGTCGAGTAGAGTCTAACTACCCTGCTTTATTTTTTACTAAAGAAAATAACATAATTCAGAAGACTCTAAGCCTGTGGATAGTAATTGTATAAACACATAAAGAAAAAAAGATTACTTACCATGTTACCCATTGAAGATAATCACAGCTATAACTTTAATTTAATTTGTCTTTTCTACTTAATCTAGATTGTCGTTACCTGTTATCCCATGAACATTATTGCAAATATTTTCTCATGTCATGAAAACTTTCCAGACCCTGATTAGTGTTCTCCTGAAATTGACACTCCCTCTACAAGCATAACAACACAGGGCCCTGTGGGCCTGTGAACCTACGGTCTTCTACTGGTTAGAGCTCAGCATTTTTATTCTTAAACCGCAATAGTGTGGTCCATGTGACCTAAGACCTTGTCTTCTGAAGAGGGTCTTTATGCTCATGCTAAGGAGGCAGAAACTGAGAATGGAGCATTCCCCTAAGGAGACATATACAAAATGTTCCGTTTCCTCCTTGAGGTGGGGGGGAGCATAAAATACCTCCCCAGGTACCACCGATAATCACAGGGAACTGAGAACTATAAATGAATGTTATGGCCACAGCAACAAAAAGAGACAACTGGTAAACATTATGTATTACTCTCTAATTGGAAGATCTAATCAAGTAAATAAAGAAAGGAAAAAAGTAAAGTGATACTCTCAGACAACTTTAAACCTGAATGTTCCTCTACCCACAAGGCAATCCTAGAGTCCTAGGATAAAGGGTCTTCTTTCGGAATTTCCCAAGTGGAAATACCCTCCTCTGCCTTTTCAAGAAAAGAAAAAAAAGTAATTAGTGTTATCTTCCCGTGTCACCTTAATATCCCTAATATTCAAAAAAATCTGTGAACATTTTCATTGGTCACCATCATGCTGACCCAGAATCCAAGATCAACTTTCTCCAAGATCAGTGATGTCCAGTAAGAATGAGGATGAAGGAGAGGCCTGCAGCATCCCCAGCATTAGCTGCAACCTGTCCTGGTCATTACCAGTAAATATTTGCCAAACATGGGACCAGTGGCCACACACACACACACCATAGAAAATGACTTATGGAAAATGACATCATAGAAAATGTTTGTGGCAGCCGATACCCTGTTAGGAAAGATATCTGTATTCCCCCTGAATACCCGCGCTCCAGTGTCATCCCCTTCCCCACATCCTGCCTTTTTGTGCTTATAACCCCTGTGTGAATGAGTAAAAATTACGATTTGAAAAAAATAAGTAAATTATTAAAAAAGAAAATGTTGGTGGGATTGCTCAGCAGATAAGTGTTATCAACCCTGACAACCTGAGTTCGATCTCCAAAATCCACATAATAGAAAGAGAACCAACTCCTAAAAGTTATCCTCTGATCTCCCCACATGTGCCCCATGTTCATATATATCACACACATACACACACACTAAATAAATAAAATTTAAAAGATAAAGAACAGAAAATGTTACATAGTACATTGACAATAAAAAATGCAGAAAGACTATTACTGATAACGCAGATTACAAAGAAAGTCAAAATTTTAAGACAAATTATAGTTAACCTAATCGAGGAATTGAAATTGAAGAGGCTTTGGGACATGCACATTTAAGAATTGCTGGCTATTCAGTCTGTCTCCATCTTCATCTAAATTAAGGAGAATTTTCCACTATGTCAAGTAGTTCCAAGAGCAGTGTACGTGACTCTGTCAACAGCTAAAACCAAAGAACTAAAACTCACCTTAACATACTCATACACACAACAAGGCCAAGTGCGTCCTGGTTGCTTGTTCCAAAGCTCCCGCAGAAAACTACCCTACCCAGGCCACTCACACACCTGGCTTTGGGACAGTCCTGACTGAACTAACCCTGCTCTTTATTGCAGCTCTCTTGGCAAAGCTTCTACCAGGAGAGCAAAAGCACTGAAAGGGGTGGATACAAAATTAGCTACATGCTGGGGACACAGAAGTGTGGGTGTCACTGCTTCTCACTGCACCCATCTCCCCATATGGCTGCCCACCCCCCCCACCCCCGCAACTCCTACAACATGAAGAGGATTACTGCTTGCCTTTGATTAGCCGCTCCGGTCTTGTCCCTGGTAAGGTCCACATCGCCTGTGCCAAGTGTCCAAAGACAGTAGCATCAAGAGTGGAAAGCTTGGGCCCCATGATGTACTTCTTGTCACCTGCAGCAAATGGAACAGAAAGGTCACTGGAATGACCCACACTTGTCTAGTAGGATCACAAGGGCATTTAGTACATCTTCACTATATGTTTGTTTAACTGTGTACCAAAACCCTTTAAAGAGTCAAAATACATGCATGCCCTTTGCAAAAAAAGACCACCCAAAAAATGTTCTATGACACAACAAGGTGGCTAGCAAAGCAGGGAAGGGTGCTCACATAAAGAATAAGGATGCTTCTAGAAAGACGAACATCAACTCATCGACAACTGACTTCCAGGGAACCTCCTTGTCTCAACTCTCGTAATTAAAACGTGTGATACTTACCAATACCTGAAAGTTTGCTAGAACCATCTCAAAAGTAATTTACACCAAGGATATGAGACCTCAATGTTTTTAAGACTAAATCAATATGTATTTGCTCAGAAACAAAATCAAAGCCTAGGCTAAGGAGTTGGAAAGCAACGTTATCAGTGCTACTCCCATGGACAGGGCAACTGAATGCCACAGAATGACAGCTTGCCTGAGAAACTTCAACTACAGAGAAGATAGAAGGTCACAGGTTCAGCCCTGGCATCAGGTCCTAGGCAAGAATGTTTCAGACTTCGCTCTCATGTCTCCTTAACCAACACTGATGGTAAGTTCAGGCCTTGACACACATGAGCTATCACACTTGACTAAGAAGAACTTCCCAGGTTGTTTTGGGGGCTGTTGTTAGGTACAGTGTAGCATAAATGGAAACTTCTATGTGTAGCAGACTGAGACCAACAGAAAGCCACAATGTATCTAGTCAAATGTGAAGAACAGTTGGTCATGGGATACCCCATCCCAGTTGATATGGTGCATCTTCGATATAATCCCTAATACCTAAAGCTCAGGGAACAGCACAGAAGAGGGGACAGAAATATTTTAAGAACCAGAGGACCAGGACTTCTGCTTCAAAATTGTACCTTCTAGACATGACAGGGAAGTTACAGCCCTGAAATCTCCACAATGTGGTTGACTGCACAACACCTGAACAATGATACCACCAATCAATATTCCAACATGGATGAGGGAAATGTCATAGACGAAGACCTTTAGGTATAATTAATGACTGCTGAGAAACAGAGAGTTAGGCTTCCCCAGGATGGAGCTCCTAATTGGTTATCCAATACCAAGTGGTCAGCCCTAAATACATACATATGTAATCAAAACCAAATGGACTCGCAGGCAGTATTTATATATTTATTCATATATATTTGTAACAATAATAAAGACAAAGAGGCCATGAATTTGAGAGAGAACAGAGCAGTAAGACTTGGAAGGGGCTGGAGAGAGGAAAGGGAGTCATTTACCATTCACATATGTGAAATCTTTTTAAATTAATTTAATTGAGAATGAAAACTGCCCCAAGTTGGCTGCTGGGCTGTTATCAAATATCAAATATATCATAAAGAGACAATAGTATAGTTGTATTCTCCAAGATGCTTGTTTCTAGGGCCTGATGATATATCTTAGTCAATAAAGTTTTTGCTTTACAAGGATAATAACGTAAGTCCCATCCTTACAACTCACATAAAGAAAAAATGGGCAAAACAGCACATGGTTGTAACCTCCCTTCTTGGGGTGTGGAGCCTTGTTTGCTGCTCAGCAAGCTGAGCCTATTTTGTGAGTATCAGTGAGAGACCCTGTCTCATTGTAAAAAGTAAATGACGCCTGAGGAATGACACCCAAGGCTGTTCCCTGGCCTCTCGAGAGGCCGAGCACAAATGAGAGCATGTAGGAACACAGTTGCTCTCACACACAAAAGAGGGCCCTAATTCCTCAGGACTACTGTGGAGATGTAAAAGTGTAATGCACTGTGCCCCAGTTCTGAGTACCTTGGTGACCATGAGCTCTCTTGATGACAGACTCTCCCTTTCCATGCCTCATCCCCTATGAGTGTCATCTTGTAGGTCATATCACTCCTCTTCCATGGCTTATTAAAGGAGTTATGAAATAAAGTCCAAACTCAACTCAGAAAAGGAGACCCATACTCTGCTCATGCTCATGGAGGTAGAAACAGGTGGCCCTTAAGATTTGTGGGAAAGCTTGCTTCTTAGCAAGCTGGAGGCAGGTAAGAGACCTGCACTAAAAAAGAAAAAATGGTGAACAGTGGACAGTGAACAATGGCTGAGGAAACACACACACTCTGAGGGAAATGCTAGAGTGTATATTATGAACTCTGATAAAAATCAAAGACTTTAGAGACAAGATGGAAAAACACATATAGAAAAAACATTTAGCGGCTAGAGATATGACTCAGCAGTAAAGGGCACTGACTGCTCTTCCAGAGGACCTGAGTTCAGTTCCAAGCAACCACATGGTGGCTCACAACTATCTGTAATGGGATCTGATGCCCTCTTCTGGTGTGTCTGAAGACAGCCACAGTGTACTCATATACAGAAAATAAATGAATAATTTGAAAAATTTTAGAAAATCTAAAATTCAAGCATGTTAATACATATAATGTCTATATAATCATTTTAAGCCAACTTGTGTACACGAGATTTAGCCAAAAATTATTTAGTCTCAGAAAATAACAAATAGAAAGAAATCGAGTTAATACAGAACCACACTAAGAACCTCTTGAGTTCTGGACCAGTATTTTTTTTGTCTCCATGATACTATGCGTATGTCATCATCTCAGAGACAAACACCTTAGAGTCAGTGGAGCCAAGGAAGCTTGCTAACGCATGCTACAGTCAGGAGAAACACAGAGCAGATAAAGGAGAGAAAAAAGGGCAGAACTCTGAGAGATTTTAAGATGTTCATAAAATAAACATGGATTGACTTTAGCATCTATGGAAAATATAGTAACTGTTTCCAGAAAGAACAAGTTCAGTATCCCTTCCAATCCAAAAACCTCTTTTATTACTTCTCTACAAGATCTGTTCCCCCATGGAGCTCCAGTTCCACCTTCATGATGGGCATGCCAGACTACTCTGTAGTTCTTAAAAATGAGACTAGATATATCTCTTCGGAATACCCCATTCTTTCTTCTGGAACCACACAGAGAATGTGTGACCCATGCATGATTTCACAGAAGCCATTCCTGTCCCCGCTAATACACTGCTATGGGAGAACTGGTCACCTTTTCCCACATTTCTATGGGATGGTACACTGCAAGGTTTCCTTGAAGCAGCAGGAAGAGGATGACTCTCCTCCCTTGCTAATCATTTTCCCAGTTTCAATTATCATTTCTCATCACATCTCTGCAACTTTACAGAATTTTCAGACTCCATGGAGCAGAAATGAATGAATGGTTTCAAGAGAAAATGACTTTCAAATACTCATTTTTGTCGATACACAGTGAATAACAATTGTATGTTTTGCCCCCAGAGTTCCCTGTACTTGACACTAACAATTTACAAGCAGACAATTCCAGTGAAGTCAAAGTGGATGCCATTCAGGCTTCATATTGTCCCTCTCTTGCCTTGAATTAACTAATAATTCAAGCAAAGTTGAGAATCAAGCATTTCGAATGCTGCCCCAAGGACAGCGGAAATCATCAGGGTAATCTTGAAGTCATCCACCAGGAAACACATCCTTTCAACAGCTTATGCTTCTGATTTTCCCAGAAGATAACAGTGTAGAAAACAGCCAGCTTTCTGCTCTCCCTTAAACTCTGGATCAAACTACTCTTTGTCTGACATAGTATATACAGCAGCCCTTGTTCATGGTTCCAGCAAACTCCAAACTGAGTACACAGTTCTTAGCTTCTCTCAGATGAGGTTATCATGCACTGCTTGGTTAAGTCTCAGAACTCAGCAACATTGACAATTCTCTAACTAGTTGCACTGATCAGCTCAAAATCTGGGAAAAGATAAAGGTAGGTGAGGAGAGAGACTAGTAGGCTCTACTTAATTTAATGCCTTGTCATTAGCTAGAGTGAGTACCTAGATAGCCCTCTAGTGTTCTGTACGATCCTCAGAAAGAATTTCTGTTGGCTTGGATGAACTTTGCACATCATCCTCACTCGTGACCTATCACCCTTTCTCTTCCTCCCAATCTCTCCTTTGCAGATATCCTACCTACGAAACTTAGGTGAACGGTTTCATCCATGCAGAAAAACCCCACTTATGGGAATTCTAGATAAAGAAAGCATTTCTTGGAAGGGGCAAGAGCCACCTACACTCACTTCTTGAAATTCAACATTACTGAACAGCAGCTCCGCCATCTTGAAATGAGCTGCTAGCATCTGGACAAAAACATCTGTGTTTCTAACTCACTACTAATCAGATGACTTGTATGTCTTTTCCTATATTATGTCAACATTGTTTCTTCTGGGTCTGACCATCCACCTGGCTGCAATGGTGAGATTTGAGAGCTACAAAAGTCAAGTAAGGGGCTGGAAAGAGCTTTCTGGGTAAAAAGAATGGCTGCCAAATCTGGCAGCTAGAGTTTGATCTCCACAATCTACATAGTGAAGGGAAAGAATGAGAGAACAGACTCCTACAAGTTGTTCTCTGACCTCCACACGCGTCCTCCCTGACTCAAACACACATACAAACACACGCATGCAACTCACACATGCACACATGTGCATAAAAGAAAACTAAGTCATGAGTCAAGTGTCCCTCCCCAATTTTGAATCCCCAAATGCACTCCTGAAGCTAAAGAATTTATAACATGCAACTGAACTTATCAAGACAGGCTCCCTCACGTCTGTCTTGGCTGCCTTGTTTTGGGGCATCAAGTGAATCTGCTTTTCTATGTCTCTGTTCAGACTGTTTCCTTACACAGACTACCTCACAGCCTTCAAATTTACCTTAATGAGAAAACTCATTACACAGAACTCAATGTCATGTTGAAGTCTTGTTTCCAAACCCTCTACAAAGAGCATGATGTTCTATCGAGAAAACAGGACAGTAACAGAGCCTGGCAGATGGTGTTGTGTCTGATCATCAGGGCTAGAAGAGGTCACCCTCACAAGCAGACCCCATACTCCTGGATGTTTCTTCAGTGATGGACTCCAAGTGT